TAAGATCCTCATTTCACAAACAAAGCAACTGAGGCCCATTACTTCCATACCCTACTTTGGGGAGGGAGCTGGTTACGTGGTCTACAGCGTATATGCTCAAAAGCCTACAAGAGGGTCTCGCATTCTAGTCTGACTTCTATTTTGCTGGCAATGGAGACCCAATGTAATGTCACAGACAGAAAAGGTAATAGAACCAGATTTCAGAAAATTAGCTGGTGGTAGTACAGACCATAAATTAAATACAGAGAGTCAGAAGACAAGGATAACTAGTAAACTAACACAAAACCCCCCTCTGAGACGTGGGGCCTGAACTGATGCAGTAGCAGGGTGATGGAGTGGAGAGAACCTCAGGAACGAGCTTTTCTGAAGGATTGCTACATCTGTCCCCTTTCTACCTACCCAGTATCATTTTCTCCCTCAAATGCACTAAGCCCTATTCTCTACCCACCTACGATGTATTATTTCTTGACATACCATGTTGTCATATACCTAAGTGTCTCTAACTTTCCTTAATTAATTTCTCATCGTCCATCCCACCCTCACCTTTAAAGTGTTTACTCTCGCATTTCTACCTTCATAGCAATACAGACACATTACTGAATTTTATGGTCCAGTTTTTCTCTGCTTCTTCACTGTCATCTACGAGTTGAGTCAGGCACATTTTAGTCATCTCTCTGTATCATCGCTGCCACCAGAAAATGACACTCAAAAAAGGCAGCTCAAAACACTAAATTTGTTTTTTATTTCTTACTTTTTTTTCATTGAGCCCACCCTTTTGAAGAACAAATCTTCTTTTTAAAAGTAGGTTTTCCCAGTTAAAATACTATTAGCTATCTTTTCCTATTAAGAGAAAGGTTATGATTTTTCATTTTCATCTTACATCAATAAATTTAAAGTATAACTTGGCATCTAAATTTGTAATTTTTAAGTGATTAAGAGTCTACAGAAAATACAAAATGTAGAAATATTACAATTAAAAGTTATTGCTATTAAATATTTAAATATAGTAAATATTTAAATAATAAAATTGTAATAGTATATAAAGACATGCTATTCTAAAATAAATTTCGGTGTAACAACATAGAGTCATTTATAGTTACCATAAACAGCAAACAGAATTGGGATTTTTGTCAGTTGCGGGGCAATCAGACACATGAAAACATGGTCTACTTGAGGATCACCTGAGGGCCCTTAGGGTGACCAACCATCTCCAACCTAGCACTGAGTTATTCCTGAGATGTAGAACTATATGTAAGTTCCAGGAAAACCAGGAGAAGTTAGTCATGCTAATTCCCTGAATGAAAAAAGAAAGTAAAAAACAAATAAACAAATAAAAACAAACAAGAAGAAGAAAATGGACCATTCCAAAGAAAAAATCCAAGTGCTCATTACTTTGGACTAGTGACTAGTTTCAGAATATGAGTACTCAGAGTCACCTTTGTAAGTCTTATTATTAAATGATGTTTTTGGAAGTCTGCTGTAATTTAAACAGAGAGTCCCAAGATTGGAATGAACATGGATAGGTTATTATACTCTGAATTTTAGAAGGCTGAATAAACCTCCTTTATTCCCAAAATATCAAACATCAAAAATCAGATATCCAATGAGTAATTGCTAATTAATGAGTACACACAACAAGTATCATGACAGATACTAAAGCTAATTTAGAGGATATAAAAAGCAATCTCCAGCATAAATCAAATGAGAAGGGAATATATATTATCCTGATATTGCCATACAAATGTAAAACTATTTTCCATGCCTTTTATGCCTTCTTAGATAAGTTATCTTAAATGAATATTTTTTTTCTAAGCCAGAGTTTCCCTAACCTGTGTTACAAAGATGCCATGACGGGCCTGATGGATCTAGAGCTCCTGGCTTCTTGCTTCCACCCTAAGTGGTCCATCTCTTTGCCCAGCTAGCTGTACAAACTGTATCAGGTTCTAAATGTATTACGATATAAAAAGATGGGAAACACTTCTCTAGGCCATGCATTTCCTCAAAAGTAAAGTGCATAAAATACCAAGTTCCTAATGGAGATGTTATAAGCATAAAATGATGTTTAAGATAGTCAACAGAACACAAATGATTACCATAATCTCATTTGGGTATAGTAACAAAATCCCCAAGAAGTTACGAAAAGGAGGTGAGTTAACACATGTGAAAACTAAAGACTTACCTGACCAGAGGATGCTAACAAATTAATTGTTGTCAGAAGCATCCAGCCTCTACTGGCTTCTTCACTCTGATTGATCTCCAGGAATTGGACTATGGCCCGACTTGCAGCCTCTACAACACCAAAGGGAATCCCAATAAATGGGGGGTAAAGTCACCTTTAAAGAGGTTCTTTCTTAAAACCTACCAAGGAAACACTGGTACCAACGTTTACACACTTCATATTAGCACCATATATACATATATATGGGCAAATTTCTAAAATAAGTAATGTTTTAATAGTATATATAAATCTTTGTATGATTAATACAGAAATGTAGATAGAATTCAACCTTTATATTTTAGAGAAAGCTGTATCATGAACCAATGAAAAAGACTCATGGACAAGGTGAAGCTTGAGCTAAAATTTCCTGGATAGGGGACTTGTCCGGGAGGTGGAGCAACCAGGATGCAGGAAGAAGAGAAGTATTAAAACCAAAGAGTGGCGGGGCGGCGCCTGTGGCTCAAAAGGGTAGGGCGCCGGCCCCATATGCCGGAGGTGGCGGGTACAAACCCAGCCCTGGCCAAAAAAAAGAAAGTAAAACCAAAGAGTGGCTAGAGAAATGGGCCTGCATGTACAGTGTGTATGTACACCACAGCAAAGAACTATAGTGACACTAGCTTAACAACCCAGAAGAGTGGAAGTTGACAAGCAGAGTCTAGTAACACCACTAGTGATAAAAAAGTGTTAGAAAGGAGGGCAAGCTATAGGCTATATATATTTGGCTCTTTGGGGAAGGGAGCAAATGTAGTTTCTTGGGCAAGGTAGATGATGAAAGGATTATCCCAAGACTATTAATTTAGTAGTAATGTGTATGACACACTGGAAGGCCAAAGAAACTGACCAGAAGGAAACAGAAGGAAGAGACTGCCTCAGTGACACACAGAGAACAGCCTGAGCAACCAACAGCAGGCACAGAGCATTCGTGAGGTCTGTAAGACAGACATCCATGCACCTGCAGGCTCAGAAGACGCTTTCAAAGTAATTTACTTTTTAGAGAAATGAAAAAATGGAGAAATCTCTAAACCTGCACTTAATTTCATCAGCACATTTTACCAATTTTTACATTAATATATGAGGGGAATTAAAATTGTCAGTCTAATCTGTTCACTATAAACTGAACTGTTTACTAATGTATTAACACACTTCATAAAGAAGCAAGAAGGTGGATGGAAGAGGATTTAGATTACTTTAGATGTATTTTTCCTTAGATTTAATACAATAAAGATGAAAATGTTTTATCAGATTACTGAACATAGAACTGACAAATGATTCTGTGCCGGACATGTTTCGGCTTTATACAGCTCTAGTCAAAGGAACATTTAACAACAAAAAAATTTAAACAGCTTCTTTTTATTGAGTCAACTATGTATCAAGCACTATTTTAAGTACTTGTGGGTTTAACTCACTTAATCTTTACAAAAATTCTATGAGCTGTTTTTTTATTAATTTACTCCTCATTATGGTAAAGTTGAAAAATGAAGAGAATAAGTAATTTGCTTATGGTCACAAAGCCAGTCAATGAATTCATATCTGAACTCATACTCAAATCCAGGCTGGCTAGTGATTAAAGATAGTGACTGAAAAAATTAACTGGAACCAGGTACGGTAGAACGCACCTGTAGTCTCAGCTACTCCGGGGGCTGAATGAGGCAGAAGGATCACTTGAGTCCTAAAGTTTTGGCCAGCTTGGACAACAAAGAGGGATACTATTTATAAAAAGTGTAATAATAATAATACTATGGGAACAATAATAATAATTATTTTTTTACTGGAAAAGAGGGAATCGAACGAAAACCTGGTTTATTTCCAACAGTCAGCATCTCCTAAGAGTTAAATCACCCCATTCCTATGTTACTCTTCATCAGCCGCCCTCACTGCCAATCTCCAGTAACTAGCATATCCCCTGGCACTTGGTGGGCACCCAACAAGTCTCTGCTACGTGAGTCAGCCTAACTGGATGAGAAGAGTGATAGCAACAGAAGGACAGACTGAGTTCAGCTTTCTAACAAACACGAAGGGGTCTGGACTAGTACAGATAGAGGAGGCCTGTTTGTTTTGAAATGGGGAGTGACACAAAGGAAGCAGTGTCGAAGGCTGACTAAATTAGAGGAGAAAAAATAAGAGAATACCACTGAGAAAACGACTTTAGCAACTGTGGTTTGAGATCATTAGTAGAAACTGACTCACAAATATTTCTCACAAGACTACAAAATACCCAACAATTTGCCAAAGGCTATGTAAAAGGAGCCCCTTTCCTTGACAGCAATTAAATACCCAGGTAAGGAAGATACTACTTCTCAGCTGGCTAAAACGCTCAGCCATTCCTAGACTTCTTCACAAGGTTAAACTTTTGTTTTAAATTGTACAGTTTTAATGTCATAATTCAGTATCTTTAAGAAACAATTTGCAGTTTTCAAATTGACTGTTTCAGTTAAATCAATGTAATGAAATTTTACTTTATAAAAAACATTTATTTGGAAAAGATCTAGTCAATACCACCTGTGTTTCTCACAGAGGGAGAAAAACAGATTTTGAGGAACGATTCCTATTTAAGAGAAGAGGCGAAACAAAGTTATCTTCCTGGTACAGAAGTAGAACCACACAGATAAGCCACATTTTGAATGAATTTGGATTCCATTCATATTATTTAGCCCTATCAATGGAAAAAGAAAATGGGCAAATATGTATTTCCACTGTTGATTAAATCATCAGAGACCAACAGAGGACACTAGCGTCTGGGTCTGAAGCAGCTATAGTTACCTGATCAAGGATGGGCACTTACACTTCAAATGGGTGGTTTCTTAATGTTTTAGTTAACAATGAACAGTAAGGAATTCCTCAAAGTTGAAAAAAGATAAACAATGGATAAAAAGCCAATGTTCTATTTGTCATTAAACATTCTAGCATGTTTAGTGGGGTGTAGTGCTCATTAAACAAGGTAATACATGTGGAAATAAACTGAAAAAGAACAAGATGATCTAATGAGTAACACGTACCCTTTAACCTCTTTGCCAACAGTAACAGTTACTCTTTTTGAGAAAGTAGAGATCTTAAGTTTATCAGTAATAATGTAAAATTATGTTATCTGCCTTTGAGGTACCTGCTCCTTCAGATAAAGAGGTCTGGACAGGGCTGTGGTTGAATGACATGGAAGAGATCCCAGCCTCCACTGACGGACACACACTGCCTCTGCATGTCAACTGCTTTCAGAGGAACCATTTTACCCCCATCTGCCCACAGGCCATCATTTAGACTACCTCAAAGGGATCTCCCAGTTTCTATTCTTTTTTTTTTTTTTTTTTTAAGACAGAGCCTCAAGCTATCCCCCTGGGTAGAGTGCCATGGCATCACAGCTCACAGCAACCTCCAACTTCTGGGCTCAAGCGGGTCTCCTGCCTCAGCCTCCCAAGTAGCTGGGACCACAGGCACCCGCCACAATGCCTGGCCATTTTTTTTTTTTTTTTGGTTGCAGCCATCATTGTTCTTTGGTGGGCCCAGGCTGGGGATTCGAACCCGCCACCTTAGGTGTATGTGGCTGGCGCCTTAGCCACCTAAGCCACAGGCGCCGAGCCCCAGTTTCGATTCTAAATGAGGAAAGCAGCTCATCTTAAACTACATAACATTTAGTGCTATCTTTAAAGCATTACATATTATTCTAGGAAGTAATTTTAAATAAAACCTTCTTAAATCACATAGTTTCTTAAAACTCTGGGGGAGAGGAAGCCCACTACTAGTCACTTGCGTTAGGCTCTATTTACTTAAATAATATTTATCAAATACAAACTTAAATGATAATTTAACTTATGGTTATGAGTTAACAAAAATAACATAGGTGTCGATCATTTTATTTCATGCTTTACCTCACACTGCATTTCAATACATACAGTTAGAATGAAAAACACAGAAATAGAGTTAGTAGTGCTTGTAGTTAGATTGAATAAGTAAAAAATGTACACTACCATGAAAAAATACAAGTGAATTCAATTACACAGCATTCAAATCAGAATACAAAACTTGTTAATAAGTGTAATACAACAATTTTTCCATTGCAAAGTCATTTAAAACATATGTCATTTTCAAATTAATGCTTCAGGATGACAGTGGAACATGCCGATAGTATTATTACACTTATTTCATAAATGAAGACACGAAGCCCTAAACACTCTTGATCCTTCAAAGAAAAAAAAAAAGAAATGAAAGAAAAAAAAATCTACAGGTTAGTCAGAAAAACAGTATTAGAACTCACAGCTTCCATGCTTTTCTCATTGACAATACATAACCACACCTTGGGGATGAAATTACCTGAGGGTGTTGTGGCTTTGAAATCCTTGGGGGACAGCAGTGCACACTGTTTTTCTGTTTAAGAAAAAAAGGCTGGTTGTCTAACTGGGGATGCACTACATTCTACCAAGCCCGCCATATGAGTACTGTGGTCACCATCATTCAGCCTGTCCATCACTGGCTGGCTGCCACTGAGCTTGACAGGGGCATCTGAATGTAGCAAAGTCATTAATAACGGAAGATACTATTTTTTTAGAGACATGGGAATTTTCTGCTTCACTGATATAAATCAACCATGTCCTGCTTAGAATTAAGCAGAATGTGCATGGCTGAACTTAACAAATCACTAGAAGAGATGGGGGAAAATCTGTACCCTGTACACTCTACGCCCACGTTAACTATGTGTTCTCAAATTAGTTGAGAGTCACCACATACTATTTAAAAATCCACATGGAGGCAACAATCAAAAGAGAATTACAGGAGAGAGTGAGAGGAGGAGACTGAAGCTGCCCTGATGTGGACCAAGTGAGTCCACGCACCCATTCTGTATCTTGCAATTCCCTACAAGTTTTCCATTCTGACTAACTTCTGGTAAATTTCAACAGGAGATCTGCAGGTGAACATGGTTCCTACTGAGATTAGAGTTCATGCTGGAAGTAATCTGATAAAAAGACTTTATATGGGAGTGGTGATTAGGTAACACCCCAAACAAGGCTTCCTCACCAAATCCAGGGGGGTCCTGGAAAAATAATCTTGCTTTAGTGTATAACAAATACAGCCAACTTTCACA